CCCCACACACACCCTCACACACATCCCTCACACACATCCCTCACAAACACTTACACACACACCCTCATACATACCCTCACACACATCCCTCACAAAGACTTACACACACACCCTCACACACACACCCTCACACACATCCCTCACACACACCCTCACACACACACCCTCACACACATCCCTCACACACCCTGACACACACCCTCACACTCTTACACACACCCCTCACAAACTCTTACATACACCCTCACACACACCCTCACACACATACACATCCCTCACACTCTTACACACACACCCTCACCCACATCCCTCACAAACACTCTTACACACACACCCTCACCCACATCCCTCACAAACACTCTTACACACACACCCTCACCCACATCCCTCACAAACACTCTTACACACATACCCTTCACACTTTTAAACACACACCTTTACATACACCCTCACCCACCCTCACACACACCCTTACACACTCTCACACATACCCCGCACACACAGTGTTGGCAATCCCAAATCCACAGGCTAGTGTGCCCCTCCTGCCCTCTTCCCTAACAGAGGGGCATCTGTGAGCAGCGGTTCTCAGCTCACACCCAGCAGGAGAGTGGGAGGTGGTCTTGGCTAAAGGTAGGGGGCAGGAGAGTGTGGCTCCTAGGACTCAGGTGTCCTTTGACTCGTAACTCCTCCGTCCCCATCCCGTGAAGATGGAGCCGTCTGGCAGTTCTGACGGCCACCCCCGACCTCCCCCAGCCAGAGGCCCAGCCTCGCTAGCCCCTCACCACCTGAGGACAAATGTGAGGCCGCCACATCTTACACTCAGACCTGGGAATGCAGGGCCAGGATCATTTTGACAACCAGCCTCTCAATAAAAAGCAGTGAATCACCTCTTTTTACATGCCAGTGATTGGTATTATAATTCTGTTTTTAGTAAATTTATGAAAACAAAAAGTCAACAATGAGACCAAGGGTAGAGAATGGGTCAAAAAGCAGAATATTAAGTACTGCAGTGGGGCCAGCACGAGGAGAGGAGGCCCATGATTTTGAGGAAGTCCCCTCTAGGGACCCCAAAATAAGCCACCCTGGCTCCTCACCTGGGTTGATGCCCTGCTGACCCTAAGGTATGTGTGAGGGGATGGATGAGGGTATGTGAGAGGGTATGGGGGATATGAAGGGGTGTGAGGTTGTATGGGGGGTATGCATGAGTGGGAATCTGAGGGGGGCCTGATGGTTGTGTGTGAGGGTGTGTGAGGCATGTGAGGGAGGATGTGTGAGGGGGTGTGTAGGAGGGGTTATATGTGAGGGGGTGTGAGGGGCTGTGAGGGGCTGTGAGGGTGTGTGTGATGAGGGGTGTGATGAGAGGAAGATATGTGAGGGTGTGTGAGGAGGATGTATGTGAGAACGTGTGAGGGCATGTGTGAGAATGTGTGAGGGGGTGTGTATATGTCCTCCAAGTTGCAGATTGGCACCAGGACACCTGTGTCAGCACCAAAGCTCTACCCAGAACCCTACAATATGAGACCTGGAATGAACCTTCCAAGCCAGATTCCAGCCGAACTCTGCATTTTACAGATGAGAAGACTAGGCTCCCAAAAGAAGAAATGACTTACCCAATGTTCAAATCCCAAAGTCCACAACTAGCTATAGCAGATTATGGACTGGAATTGGTCTGGGTGAGATATTCTTCCCATGTCACCTCCACCCCCTACACTACATCATCCTTCAAGCCTCAGCTGGGTGGACACCTCCTCTGGGAAGCCTTCCTAGCCTCCTTCCTCCTTCCAGTTAGAGCCCAAGGCTCTCTCTTCTCAGATCCACAGTCTGTTGGACCAGATAACCCCATTAGAGGGCCCAAATCAGGCTGGCATGCTCTGGCTCCAGCTCACAAAATGGGTACCTTGAATGAAGAATGTCTGGCTCATCTTTCATGCTCAGGGCCTGGTACCTGGCAAGACACGGTCAATGTAAAGTTTAATTAAGGGTTCATCTTAATCAGCACCCACCACTGGACTCCCTTTCTCTCTCTGTGTAAACTGGGTCTAAACAACTAAGATACTTACTCTCCATACCATTTAGTTAAACATTTAGCTGCTTTCTAAATGCCTTTGTGTTCCCAACTAGACCACAGGAAGCTGGTTTCACACGTGGCTGGTTTCTCCCAAAAGTCCCCAACCGCAACTCTCAGCCTCAGCTGCACACTGGCACCATGGGGGACTTTAACCCCACCCCCCACATCTAGGCCACACATCAAGCCCCCACTCCAGAAGTGGGACCCAGGCATCAGAATGTTAAATTCCCCAAGTGGTTCCAGTATGCAACCAAAGTTAAGAAACACATACCTAGAAAAATATGACACTAAAAACAACTTGCTGATTCAACCAATTCTGTGCATGTGTGACTGCGTGTAATTGTAAACAAGAATGAAAGAGAGACAGCATGACACACAGTGAGCAAGAAAGAGGCTACTTGGCATTATGTAAACTGGGTTCCTCACTCTTGGCACTACTGACATTTTGGGCTGGATAATTCTATGTCATGGGGTGCTGCCCTGTGCATAGTAGGATGTGTAGCAGCATCCATGGCCTCTACCTACCAGATGCCAACAGCTGTAACACCAAAAATGTCTCCAGACACTGTCCAATGTCCCTAGGAATGGGAAAGCAAAATCTCCCCTGGATGAGAACTACAGGTGTAGACCAGCCACCAAATAATTGAGTGCATATTTATTTCACATTTCAAGGGCGAGTCACATGACCTCTTTTCCAAATAGTAAATTGCAAAGTTGGAGGCAAACAGAGAGTTGTCAAAGATTAAGGGAGGTGATGACCACAAGCCAGAAGAAGGCAAACAGAGATGGAGTTTTTGGAAGTTTCGAGCAGGGGAAGGACCACACAAAGAAGGGTTTTAGGGACAAAGTCTAGCATGGCGTGTAGGCTGGCACGGGGATGGTGGGGGAAGGGCTGGAGGCAGGAAGCCAGACTGCAAGGTCCAAACCACCTGCTTACTGATGCCCATAGTGACTTCAGTTCTGGCAAAAGCCGTTACTCCCCAATCACAGTTCAGAAGAGCCAGGTGCAGATGCCAGCAGAGAGAATGTCAGGTGGCAGGCTCAGGAATCCGTTAGAGCTGCCTCCTGCATGCCTGGATCAGGAGCACCTGCCAAGGGGGCCTGTGATGAGCCCTCCCCCCGCCCCCTGGGTCCCCAAAGAAGAGCCTTTGGAACAGCCACTCCAGATATCATGCTGAAAGCACAAGGGGGCCAGTTAGAGGCCCCCCCGGACCCCTCCTCCAGGCAGCCTCCTCCTGTGGCCGTCATGCCCATGCTGCCCCCTCGCCTCCACCCGCCCTCCTTCCTCACCTCTGCCCCTTTGCTCTACCCCCCCTCTAAGCCCTGGCTTCTCACTATATCTCTCCAAATTCCCTCTCAGTCCCCTTGGGGCTCCTCCTCCTCCTCTGCCCACCTCTGAGTGTTTGTGTCCCCAGACTTTAATCATGGGCCTCTTCTCCTCTAACTGCTTCTAGAACCATCTATCTAAAGCCCAGATCTGTACTCCCTCATTTGAAAAATACTTCAGTTGCTCTTAACAGAGCACAAGGTGAAGTCCAAGGTTCTGAAACCCTTCTCAATCCTGCCCCTGCCCACCTCCCAGTCCCCTCCTACCCTCCACCTAGATATTCTGAGCCACCTCTTATTTTTCATCTTCTTTTTCATCTTCCAAAAAAGCCACATCCACCCTTAACAGCCTAAAGTGGATTCATTTTTGTCATACTGTATAGCAGCCATCTGCTTACCTCTGTCTCCACCACAGCCTCTGAGCAGAAACCCAGGCAACCCACTGTACAGCCTCCACCCCTAGCCGGGTACCTGGTACTTAATACTCAAAAAAGTCATTACCCTTTGCTGAGTACCGTTCCAAGTGCTTTCCTATGAGTCAATTTATTTTAGCCTCATAAAACTATGCCTTTGTATTATTATTTACAGTGATAATATTATAGTAACATAAGTAATAATACTTATTATCCCCATTTTATAGATGAGAGTACTGAGGTACAGAAATGCAAGGAACTTCCCCAAGGTTACACAGTTAGAAAATGGGGAGATTCAAACCCAGTCTGAGCCCCGAGCTATCACTCTTCATCCCTGTGCAACACTGCAGCTTAACAAGAGCCTTTTAAATGCAATAATCCAATGGTATGCATGATTCTGCGGTGAATGGAGGTAAACGATATTGCAGATCCTTCGGGGCCTTGACATGGAGAGGCAGAAAGGAGAGAAAGAGCATGGTGCCCAGCCGATGGGGCCAGGATGAGAGACCAGGCTGGACCACAGACACTCTAACTTTACTGGGTCCCTGCCTTCACCTGGGTGGGGCAAAAATACCACGAAAGTCAGTACTACTTTAGCCACAGGAGGAGCCAAGCATGGCCTGAACTGGGTCTAGGTCTAGTGGCATCCACCAAACTCACAAAATAAAGTCAGGAGTGGGTACCCAGTTCAGAAAGACGAACAGGTGTACACCATGAAACCACAATGCAGAGCAGAGACCAGAGACCAAAATCAGAGGGACGAGATCAGGGCAGGACCTCACAGGCAGCTGGGACAGAGATTCTGCCTGCCTAGACAGACCATCCCTGGTCCGGGTCGCCTGGGGCCCAAGGGAAAAGGGAGAAAATGGGTCTGGCTTCGGCTAAAGGGAACAGCTCCCCAGCAGCCGGGGCAGGGGTGACACTCAGCAGTCCATCAGGTTTCTGGGGCTCCCACCGTTGACCCCACTGTTTCTACCGTATACTCACTGTGTTCACAACAGGTAAGTCGGGCTGGCGCCTCCAGAAGAGAAAACATGGAGGTAAAAGCCTGAGATTGCATGTACCTTATACCTGAAACTCTAACAGGATGCCCAACTAGCAGCCCACGCTAGAACCAACACCTAGTTTAGTTTTACAACCAATGAGCATTCCAATATTGCATTTTCTTTAAAATTCCAGAGCCAAGCACTCACCCGCATTGGCTCGTCGGGGAATCCGGGTTTGCTGGGCCGGTCCTGTCGCCGGGATCTCAGGAGCTGTTTGGCCTCCTTTTCCTTCAGAATCGGGGAAGCCTCTGGAAAAGTCAGGAAGGTGCCTTAAGGACTCTCGTACTCCATCTCCACAGTCAGAGGTAAAGGATTTGCAAGTTCGATTTTGGTTAAAACACGAACATTCTTTCCCAGGGAACTGTCCCAAAGGACTTGGCATTCCAGAGGGCTCAGGGAGGAATTTTAAATTGTTTCTAATATGGTTAACTTAGAGCAAAAGCTGCACAAGCTAAATATATTTACTGATTGCAATGGCCTATTCTTTTAAAAGTGAGTATTAATTTAATGAATATGTTTTTTAAAACATATTTTCTTCCAAAATAATCATATAAAGTTAAAAAAAAAAAACATACTTTCTTCAGTTCTCTAGTCTGTGTTTTTTAAGTTGACTTCAGTGGAATTTTTTAAAAATCGTCAATAGACTGAATCAAGTTTAAAGTTGTTACTGGAAGATGCCCAGTGACAACAAGCTTATGGTAAACTTGATAAATTACAGCCCCTTAAAGAAGATGCTACAATAATAAAATTATGTTGTTTTGATAATTGCATGCATAAAATTAGAAAAAAATATTATCATAATAAAAGCATGCCAAATTTTGGTGATCTCATAGGAGCAATAAAAGAAAGTAAAGCTGAAGATTTATCAGCATTTTTGAGAATTAGTGCACAAATACCTTTAAAGATTAAAAAAAAAAATAATTATCCCTAATGATAGCAATTCTGGAAGCCTGCTCTTACAGAAAATAAAATAGAAAAAGCATTGAAATATCTTTACATTATATAGCACCTATTGTTTTAAATGAAAAAAATACTTTCAAATATCAAATAAACTATTATTCAGTTTATCATGTCAGCATAGAAACAGGCTCTGTTTTGGAGCAAATGCCCACCTGGAAAGGAAGTCAGCAAGGTGAGAGACAGCACAAGCACAAGCAATGTCTTCATCCTGCCTTGGTTCCTCTCTCTGCCAGCCGTGGAATGAATCCTCCCAGACCTGGCCAGCCTATTAATACTTGACGGATGCCAGGTCAGGCCGTGTTTGTTCGTGCTTTCACTAACGGGACTTACCGTATGATGTTGAGTGTATCTGACGCTGCATGTTTTAGTAATGACCGCTAAAATATTTTCCCCTGAATTCCTGCAAATTTTCATCCTGAGGAAGGAAATTATCTTTTTATGATAAGACTTTCAGAACTTGAATCTGAAAAAAGCAGCACGTGATATTCATTTCATGTAAACAGATATGTATGTCATATAGTCGTGTGTGAGTGTTTACCTGTAGCTTCATTTTATGTTCCTTTTTCATTAAGGATTAAGACTGTCTTACGTTTGCATATTTTATGACACTTTTGCAAAACCCATTCACCAAGTTGACCTTCCCTATAATATCAGAGGGGGGGCAGGAAAATTAACAAGGGGCATGAAAAGAGCAAAAAATATTTTTTTGTTTCCAGCTAATTTTGGAGCCAGAAAAAAAGAGGGTTCAAATCCTGGCTTCACCTTTTTCTGCCAGTGTAACCTTAGCTAAGTCAGTCATTTACCCTTTTTGAACTTCAGTTTCCTCCTCTGTAAAAAGGAAATAACAGTACTTACCTTATGGGGTGTGACAAAGGGTAAGAAGAAAGCTATGAACCTTGTGACATCTAGTAGTATTCATCATTATCCACTTCCATTTTGCAAATAAGGAAAGTGAGATTTGGAGATGTGACGTCAAGTCCAAGTTCACACATTACGGATGCCAAGGGAGGTAGAGACTGAGTCTTCCATCTTCAAACCTAGAATGTGTGCTCCTCTCATTAATCCCCCTGACCTGAGGGGCATCCTCCATCATTTGCAGGACCTCACACAATATGCTGTCAGTAAGACTGTCAACAGCCTTGCTCCAGGCTTGAGGTTTTTATAAATACATAAAATCTCAAGAAGCTGAAGTCCTTTTAAATTCAAATCAACTATAAATGTTACATGAAGAAATTATTAAATATATGATAAAATATGTCTGGAAGGTATGTGGCATTTATTGGGATGAAATTCTCCATTCAGAGAAATGATCTGATGTTTCTGTGGTTACTTTACCAGCTCAACAGAAAACAATACCCTATCTGTAGTTGTTCCAGTTTATGCTAATGTGGTGTAACCGATACTAAACCTAAATGTGCTGCCCGGTCAGTTGGTATGAAGATATTTTGAGAAGATCGTAAATAAGAAAAAAAAATTGTATCACTAGCAAAGTTGCCTCACATGCTTACTTGTTCAAAGCTTGATGTTTGGTTTCATGCACTCTGTTGCTATTGATATCTTTCTGTTTTCATGTAGTTTTCGATAACCGAGGAATTTTAGGAGCAATATTTTTTAAAGATATATCTGTCACACTAAACATCTCAAATTTTTTTATGTGCAAGTTCAAATTTTTCATTCTTTTTGCTCTTTGTGGTTGGATAGGATACTAACTGTATTGTTTTATTACGTCAAATAAACATCTGTGTACAAAAAAAAAAAAACAAAAAAATCTATGCCTAGCTAGAAATTTCTAATATATCCAATGTAAATTTACTATAAAAATATTTCTTAGACCAGGTACAGTGGTTCATGCCTATAATATCAGCACTTTGGGAGGCCAAGGCAGGAAGATCACTTGAGGCCTGGAGTTTGAGACCAGTCTGGGCAACATATTGAGATCCCATCTCTACAAAAAGATTTTAAAAATTAGCTGGGCATGGTGACCTATGGTCCTCGCTACTCAGGAGGCTGAGACAGGAGGATTGCTTACACCCAGGAATTCAAAAGTATAGTGAGCTATGATCATGCCACTGCACTCCAATCTGGGCAACAGAGTGAGACACTGTCTCAAAAATATATATATATATATGTTTTAATTTAATAACTTTTGTCTGTATCAGCTCTGCCCAATAACATGAGCCACACATGTAAGTCACATATGTAATTTAAGTTTTTTCTAGTAGCCACATTTTTAAAGTAAAAAAGGTTAAAATTTGTAATATTATATTTTATTTAACATGGTGAAATAGCCAAAATATTATTATTTGAACATGTCACCAATATAAACAAATTACTAATGAGCTATTTGACATCTTTTTTTTGTACCAAGTCTTCAAGTGCTCACAAGCCACATGAAGGCCAGTGGCTGCCAAGTTAAAAAGCCTGGGTCCAGATTCTTCCATCTCCTTAGCCATCACTCAAGTCTAGGCCACTTTCCCTCTGACCAGCTCCCTGTGCCAGGCTCCCAACTGGTGTCCCCGCTTCCCTCCCTCCCTGTTCACTTCAACCCATTCTCCTTGCAGCAGCAGTGATGATCCTCATCAAATAGAAATAGAACGTAGAAGTTAGACTTTGTCACTTCCCTGCTTAAGAATGTTTCATTATCTTCCCGCTAAGCTCAGAACAAAGTCAAAATCCTTACCGAGCACTACGGGACCCACTCTGTGTTACCTGCGCCCACCGCCCTTTCCAACCCCACTCCGGCTACTCCCCTCCAGCCCCCTGCGATCTAGCCACGCTCCGTTACTTTCAGCTAGACGAGCCCTTTCCCACCTCAGCACCTTTGCACAGGCTCCTTTCGTGACTGGATCCTTCTCATCCTTCAGGTTTCAGTTTGAAATTTCTCCTACTCAGACAAGCCTGCCCTTACCAGCCTACTTAATAAAAGTTCCCTGCCCCGTCTACACCACCACCGTTACTCTCCATCTCGTAGCACTCACATTTATGAATACTGTTTTTGTTTATTTTTAAAAATCTGTCTCCTCCACTAGACTGTAAGCTCTAACGAAGCTTGTATTATTTTATAATTTTTTATAAAGCTTGGCTGGGTACGGTGGCTCACGCCTGTAATCCTAGCACTCTGGGAGGCCAAGGTGGGCGGATCGCTCTCAAGGTCAGGAGTTGGAAATCAGCCTGAACAAGAGCGAGACCCCTTCTCTACTATAAATGGAAAGAAATTAATTGGCCAACTAAAAATATATAGAAAAAATTAGCCAGGCATGGTGGCATATGCCTACAGTCCCAGCTACTCGGGAGGCTGAGGCAGGAGGATTGCTTGAGCCCAGGAGTTTGAGATTGCTGTGAGCTTGGCTGATGTCACAGCACTCTAGCCAAGGTGACAGAGTGAGACTGTGTCTCAAAAAAAAAAAAAAAAAAGAAGCTCAGGGAAGCTCTGGTGGACTGGAGAAGTGATACTGAAAAGAGTCAGGGCCTGTATCACACCCTGGGACGCTGGGGCAAGGTCTCAGGTGGAGAGGGCCCTTCAGGTGTGATAATGACAGGCCATTCAAATGCCCTTCAGCTTGGCCCCTGGAAATATTGTCCCCAAGGGGGAGGGGTGTGCTATAGGAAAACTGAAAGAGCAAGGTCCCTCATCATGTCACTCTGGTGGGAAAATTCTTTTTTCATTTTTTTTTTTAAGACAAAGTCTCACTCTGTTGCCCCAGGTGGATTGCGGTGCATCATAATAGCTCACAGCAACCTCAAACTCCTGGGCTCAAGCAATCCTCCTGCCTAAGCCTCTAAGTAGCTGGGACTACAGGCACACGCCACCACACCTGGCTAATTTTTCTATTTTTGGTAGAGACAGGGTCTCACTCTTACTCAGGCTAGTCTCAAACTCCTGACCTCAAATGATTTTTGCACCTCAGCCTCCCAGAATGCTAGGATTATAGGTGTGAGTCACCAAATGCTAGGTCAAGAATTCTTTTCAGGCCGGGCGTGGTGGCTCACGCCTGTAATCCTAGCTCTCTGGGAGGCCGAGGCGGGCGGATTGCTCGAGGTCAGGAGTTCGAAACCAGCCTGAGCAAGAGCGAGACCCCGTCTCTACTATAAATAGAAAGAAATTAATTGGCCAACTAATACATATAGAAAAAATTAGCCGGGCATGGTGGCACATGCCTGTAGTCCCAGCTACTTGGGAGGCTGAGGCAGAAGGATTGCTTGAGCCAGGAGTTTGAGGTTGCTGTGAGCTAGGCTGATGCCATGGCACTCACTCTAGCCTAGGCAACAAAGTGAGACTCTGTCTCAAAAAAAAAAAAAAAAAAAAGAATTCTTTTCAATTCCCTCTACCCCTATTCCCAGTGACAAATAACTACCATGTTTCCCCGAAAATAAGACAGGGTCTTATATTTATTTTTCCTCAAGAATACACCCTAGGGCTTATTTTCAGGGGATGTGCTATTTTCCCCTCACAGCCTCAGCTTGCAGCACGCACAGGATGATCGGGACCTGACAGGGGGAGCCAACCTTGTTGGTGGGGCTGCCCACACCTTTCCGGTCACCTCTGGGACAGTAGCTGTCACAATGGGGCAGATGAGAAGGGCTGCTTGTCTTCTTTACCACTCCGAGAGGAAATGCATGGGTTGTGCAGATAGGCTGCGTAGCCCATCACTAGGTCTTATTTTCGGGGTAGGGCTTATATTTCCCAAATGCTTAGAAATCCTGCTAGGGCTTATTTTATGGGTAGGTCTTATTTTCCGGGAAACACGGTAGGTGAGTTGGCGGGGCTCTCAGTGTAAGACGCAATTCCCAATAAATCCACAAGGTGGCGAGCAGAACCAGGCACCACCAAGATGAAGGCCACCAAACCAAGGTTATCCATTCAAGAAGTTGCCAAGGGTCCCAGTGAATCCATTGGAGGTAGAGAGAGCTGGAGAGAGATGGTACTACAGCACTTAAAACTATTTCCCTACTATTTTAATTGATGTACTATTTGAAAGCCTTCATCGAATGCCGTGGCCTTAGAACTCTATACAGTAAGTCCTCGCTTCGTGTTGTCATCCATAGGTTCTTGGAAACTAAAACTTTAAGTGAAACAATGTACAACGAAACCAATTTTGCCCTAAGCTAACAGAGTTAAGTTACTACGTTATATTTCTGGTCAAAACGTATCACCAAACTTCTAAGTAAAGACCCAGAACACTTCTAATATTAAACATTGGAGTAAATGTGAACTATACATATATTC